CTGATCACCTCCTGTGGCTTGATCAGCAGCAGTTTCGGCCTTTTCAACGACACTGGCCGAAGCTAAAACCGGCGCTTGTTGAGGTGGTGGTGGTGGTGGTAATGGAGGCTGTGAAGTCTGCTGCGGCGCATCGCTTGGCAAAGCTTTAGCTGCCGACGAATCGCCGCCAATTGTTGCTGATGCTGCTAATGTTGATGATGATGATGATGCTTGTGAAGTTGATGCTCCAGCCGATGACGGTGGTGGTGGTGGTGGTTCATCGTCTGCTCCATCCGTTTGCGGAATATTGCCAGGCGGCGTGCTGGTCGCTGCTGCTACCGCTACTGCTGGCGTCGTACTTGAAACCGTAGCATCAACAGCTGCGGCAGTAGCTGCACTGGAAAGCTTCACCGTCGCTGGATTGGGCACCGTGATCGACCCACCACTGCCCCCCGCTGCATTGACAATCGCCGCCGAGGTGGTGGTCAGCGTCTGTCCGGCGGAAATCAGCACCACTCGCTGCTGGGTGCCGCCTCCGCCTCCGCCACCGACGGCACCGCCCGCTGAGGTCATGATTCGAATGGGCTGGCTAGAGGAGAAGAGAATCTTCTGCGGCGCACCGCCCATCCCCGCCTTGGCAATGGCGGGAATGCGAATGCTCTTGGTGGAGTTCGCCGGCACCATCCCTTGGCCGCTGGCGGCGCCCCAGCGAATGGCCACCGGCGCGTTCGGGGCGTTGGCCGTGAGAATGGCCCCGGGAGCGCGAAGCTGTGCGTTTCCGGTGGAAGAGGTGGATGAGGGCACGACGATCTTGTAGCTCTGCGAGTTGTTCAGCTGCACCGACTTTGAAGCTCCTCCACCAGGGGCCTGGGAGAGTATCGCGGGCTTCCTGGTGGAGACGAGCGTACCACCTGGACCAGCGGCGGCAGACGTTGTCAAAACAATGCCCGAAGGCGTTAAAGAGGCTGCTGCTGAAGAGGAGGTGGTGGAGGAAGTAGGCAAGCCTTGAGCTGCCTGGGTACTGCTCACCACGCGCACCATTTGCGCATTGTTCAGCTGGCCGCCAGCGCCACCACCGGTCGTCTTCAGGGTCATCC